GACCCATTGTTAGACATTCAAATCACTCCGGCTTCTGTTGCTAAAGTCATATCTCAATTAAACTTGTCTACAGCTTGTGGTCCAGACAGCATTCCTGTCACAGTCTTGCAGAATTGTTCTCCAGAACTTTCTTCAATTCTCTCTAAACTATTTAACAAGTGTTTGACTGAGTCTTGTTTTCCTGCTTGTTGGAAAATGGCATCTGTGGTTCCAATATTCAAAAACTCTGGAGAAAATTCTGACCCCTCCAATTATCGTCCGATCAGTCTTCTTTCTGTTATTAGCAAGGTCTTTGAGTCTTTGATCAACAAATTCCTCACATCTCATCTTGAGTCAAATAAACTGCTGTCAGACAATCAATACGGTTTTTGATCCTCTCGCTCTACGGCCGATTTACTAACTGCTGTAACTGAAAGATTTTATCGTGCATTAGATGGAGGCGGTGAGGCTAGGGCTATTGCTCTCGACATATCTAAAGCTTTCGACAAAGTTTGGCATGCTGGTCTTCTCCATAAGCTTGCTTCATGTGATATTTCTGGGAAAGTTTTCATCCTGGGCCCTGTTTTGTTTCTTATCTACATAAACGATCTTCCTGACAACCTTTCATCTAAAGTAGCTCTTTTTGCTGATGACTCAACTTTATACTCCTGTCTTGACAAAAAGTCTTCTCTTTTCGATTGCCTAGAACAAGTAGCTGATCTTGAATCTGATCTCACTTCAGTAATAGATTGGTGTTCACAGTGGCTTGTGAATTTCAACTCTAAAAAAACCCAATTGCTTACTGCAAACAACTACCATAATATGGTCAACATTCCTATATTAATGAATGGCAATCCTCTTACTGAGTCCTCCTCTTTACGTCTTCTTGGATTATCGCTTACTACTGACCTTTCATGGAAACCATATATACAATTGATTGCTAAATTAGCTTCTGCTAAGGTTGCTTCTCTTTATCAGGCTCGCCATTTCCTTACTTCTGATTCCATTCTCTGCCTCTACAAATCTCTTATTCGTCCCTGTATGGAATACTGTTGTCATATTTGGGCTGGTTCTTCTAACGATTCACTTTCTCTTCTTGACAAGGTCCAAAAACGCATTGTAAATGTTGTTGGACCTGGACTATCTGCTAAGCTTGAACCTCTTTCCCATCGTCGTAAAGTTGCATCTCTTTCTCTTTTCTACAGATACTATCATGGTCACTGCTCAAAGGAGTTATCATCTCTAGTTTCATCAACTAAAATTCATTCTCGTTTTACTCGTCATTCAGCTAAGTCTCATTCGTTTACTGTATCTGTCTTTTAACTTATCAACTTTTCAAGTCTTCTGTCAACCGTTTCCTTGCTCTATAACTCTGTTCTTTTTTTTTCCTAGTAACTCCCATCTTAATAGTGGTTGCTTGCAGCCTTGTTGGGAGTGAATGCAAATAAAAAAAAAAAAAAAAAAGATGAAGGAAGAGAATTCCAAAGAACTGATGTTCGAGGAAAAAAACTAGGCGAATAAGAGTTTTTGGAGCACTTCGGGACAGTAACAGAAAAAGGATGAGACTTAATTGAATGACGAGTAACACGAGAATGAGTTTTAGTAGATGGCACAAGAGACGCTAGCTCTTTTGAGCAGTCACCATTATAGTATTTGTAGAAAAGAGAAAGAGAAGCAACATTATGACGATGTGACAGAGGTTGAAGGTTGGCTGCAAGAGCAGGTCCAACTATGTTTACAATGCGTTTTTGCACCTTGTCTAAAAGAGAAAGGGCATCATTAGAAGATCCGCCCCAGATATGGCAACAGTATTCCATACAAGGCCGGATTTGAAATTTATAGAGATAGAGAATAGAATCCTGAGTAAGAAAGTGACAAGCTTGATAAAGAGAAGCAACTTTAGCAGATGCTAATTTTGCAACGGATTTGATATAAGGTTTCCAAAAAAGATCAGAAGTAAAAGTTAATCCTAGAAGATGAAGGGTAGGAGACTCATCGAGTACATTACCGTTCATAAATATAGGAAGGTCTAAACTATTGTGATAACGATTGGCCGAAAAAAATTGAGTTTTATCTGAATTAAAGTTCACCAGCCACTGTGAGCCCCATGCTGTAGCAGAAGTGAGATCCTTTTCAAGCTCAGATGCCCCTTGCAAGCAATCAGAGGGAGTTGGCTTCTTATCGTGACAAGAATAAATGGTAGTATCATCAGCGAACAATGCCACCTTAGATGTGAGAATATCTGGAAGATTGTTAATGTAAATTAAAAAGAGTATAGGGCCAAGGATTGAACCTTGGGGAACCCCTGAGGTTACAGAATAAGAAGAAGGGTGCTGTCCATCAAGGACAACTTTTATACTACGACTGGAAAGAAAGGATTCAATAATCTTAAAGATGTTTCCAGATACACCGTAAGAAGAAAGCTTATGGAGGAGACCAGCATGCCAAACTTTATCAAACGCTTTAGAAATGTCAAGAGCAATGGCCTTAACCTCTTCACCTATCTAATGCGCGATAAAACCTATTATTACTGATAGCAAATCAGCTGTAGAACGAGAAGATCGAAATCCATATTGATGATCAGAAAGTAGGTTATGAGATTCGAGATTAAGTGTTTGTTAATTAAAGATTCAAAAACCTTGCTGGACGGTATTTAGACGAATCAGATCGCTCTCCAGAATTTTTAAAAATAGGGATAACAGATGCTGCTTTCCAGCAGGTTGGAAAACAAGACTCTGATAAGCACTTGTTAAATAATTTTGAAAGGATAGACGACAGCTTTGGAGAACTTCTTCTGCAAGACTATAACAGGTATGTTGTTTGGGCCGCAAGCTGTAGAAGAGTCTAAGCAGGAAATCACTTTAGATACAGAAGCTGGAGTGATACGAATGTCGAGCAATGGATCAACCTGTTTGACGGCTATATCAGGTAGAAAGCAACTAGTGACATCAAGAGATGATATTGATGAAAAGTTCTTGGCAAACAATTCAGCTTTGTCTTTAGGTGAGGCGACAAAGTCTGAACCATACAAAATAGGTGGAATTACAGACTTGCCCTTATTATTGATACTATTAAAGATTCTCCAGAAGTCACGAGAGCCTAATTTTTGTAATGAAATACGAGATTTCATGATCTGAGAATAGTGGGCTTTGGCGTTAAACAAAACCCTTTTACAATGGTTCCTAGCAGTAATACACAGACGTAAGTTTTCTGGAGAATTGTTTTGCTAATAGATATGGAAGTAATGGTTTCGATTAGCAATTGCAGCAGCACAATGTGAGGAAAACCATGGAGAAGAGTGAGGCTTGACCTGGAATCGTCGAGAGGGAATAAAGTATTCCATGCCAGCCTAAATCCACGAAGTTATGTAAGAAGCACATTTGTCAACAGGGAGACAAAAGATTTCTACCCAGGGGCCATCACAAAGAAAATCACGGAAAGAGTCCCAGTCAGCTTTAAGGTAGTTGTAAGATGTACGATGATAGGGGGATTCTAATGATAAAGAAGAATGAGATAATAGTTTCGGAGAGACCAAACCATGATCAGAAGCACCTAAGGGTGAGTGTGAAGAAACTGAGCTCTGACTAGGATCAGAAACAAGACATAAGTCGAATAGAGAAGGTAAATGATTCGGGTTGTCTGGAAAGCGAGTTGGAAAGTTGACAATTTGAGTTAGGGATTGAGAAAGACAAAATTTGTGGGCCTTAATGCCTGCATTAGAGCCAAGCCATTCAGTGTGATGAACATTAAAGTCACCGACAACAACAATATTGGCTGATGGATAAAGAGTGAGGGCTTGGTCAATATAATCAGAAATAACATATATATATATATTTATTTATATATATATACACATATGTATATATATATATATATATATATATATATATATATATATATATATATATATATATATATATATATATATATATATATATATATATATATATATATATATATATATATATATGCATATTTTTTCATTTATATATGTACATTTTTATTTGTAAAATTATGACATTGTCAGACATAGTTAAGCAATTCAAAATTCAATAATTGGAAAAATTTCTGGTCCTGAAAGATTCAGAAGCTGTGGTTATTGAAGGGGCAAATTAAATTAAGTCTATTAACAAAAAACAAAACAATAAATTTATGACTACAAAATAACATGTTTTCTTATAACTTACATTTATAATTTTTTGTTTGGTTGAACAACAGTTAGTTCAGGTATTATTAGTAAAAAATTATAAAAATAAGTATTATATCCTAATTTTTTATTGAATTAAAAATGCATCTAGAAAAATACAATAGATATATAATTAATACTAAAAACTTGAGGAACTTTCACAAACACTTACTTTTAAAAGCAAGCATTTCTTGAATTGTTTTCTAATGACATGGAAATATGTGTGTTAATTTTAAAATAAACTAAAAGTAAAAATACTGCTAGTTTTTTTAAAAGCAGAAACTAAATATTAAATATTGTCATTTAATTAATTAACAAAAAAATAAAGTTAAAAAAATTATTATAAACAAAAAAAACAGCAACAAACTATAAGTTTCATTTTTAATCAGCTCAAATTTTTGCTTGTCAAAGTAAATTTAGTAAATGTTCGTGAGGGTTATGTGTGTTTTATGACAGTATTTAGATAATTTGTAAGATACTGTTAAATAAGATACAGTTTAAATATAAAATTAATGGTCATAATTTAATTAGTAATTAGTTTAAAGTGTTAAGAAAAAAATTGAGATTTATCTCAAACGAAAATACGTAGACAAAGTAGGGTTGAAATATGTTTACTGATGGGTTAGGGTTTGAATTTTAAGTTTTTATGTATGAAAAAGATCATAGCAAATAGAAATTGTATTTTTCTAAAAAATTGTTTATATTTCAAGTTATAAAATTTTTATGCTGTTATTTTTATATGGTTTTGTATTTTATCAATTAAAGTCATTGAAAAGAATTTTTCTTAAATGTGAATATTATAAATATATTTTCTTATATATGTTTTTCATTTTAGAGTGAAGAAAATCTTTCACTAACCAAAAATCGTAAGGTATGAACTTTTTTTCAATAAATATTTTCCATGAAAAATAATGATCTTTTAAAATTTATTAAGTTTACATGGCATATGGGCTGTTCTCTGTTTTTCAATTTCAATTCAACTCACATTTTTAATATTTTCTAAAATCAAATTTCTTTTTACAATTAGTTCAATTATTTAAACATTTAAACATTCTTTAAATATTTTTATTATTTAAACATTTTTATAACCTGTGATATATTTTATAACCTACTGTGAATATTAAAAAATACTCTCTGCTATGCCTATGGCATAGCTGAGAGCAGTTTTTAAATAACCGTCCCCTGTCTTTTTTGTGTGTGAATATTTTTACTATGTAACTTGTACCTTGCAGAAACATTGAAATAACAAAAATATGATCAAAATGATTTAGGTTTTAGTTAAATGATAGTTTAATTTAGATTAAAAGATTGTAAGTTACTGATATAAAAAATAAAAGTTATTGCAACCAAAGAGTTGCAACCATTTTTCATAGCAATATTAAAAAATTCTTTTTTTTAATTTTTTAATAGGAAGAAATAACTTTATACAATCAAAGTTATAAATTCATTGTATTATAATTTACCAAAACAGAAAAATATTGCTTGGGACGGTGACGATCTTTTTTGACAGTTATAATATATACAAATATTTTGCTATTTTAACAATTCAAAAGCAAAAATTTGGTCATTCAACAGCAAAAAATAGCTGTTTGATATTTGAGTTGGAGGACTCAATTGTCAATTAAATTGGGGTTCAAATGAAACCCTTAATTTAATTTTTCCCCAAAAATGGGGGATAGATATGATTTTCAATCATGCTTTTGTTATCACTAAAAAAATAATATATACTTCTCTGCTGAAAATAGCCTTAGAAATATTTTTTTTCTTGGTCTGTTCTTGTTCAAATGTCTTTATTGAGAATAAGTAAGGTAACAACTATTTTAAAGATGGATTTTAACATAGGAACAGTTGTGACTTTGTATTTTGGGATAAAAGTAACCAGTGAGCCAAAATTATTTTTACAAAGCATTTCACAAATTTATAGCACACAATATTAAATTTCATTTAATAGATTAAAAACCACCAGCAGATTTGTTTTTATTGACATTAATAGGTAAAAAAATACTGATGACAGTGTTAACAAACAAGAGGGAAAGGGTTTGTTCAAATTATTTTGCAATAGTGAACCGTCATTTGAGGAATACAAATTTGTTATAATTTTAATATCATCAACATATAGTTTACAATCATTCTTTATTGTATCAGATATATTATTATATTATAAACAATAAATAGTAAAGGCCCAAGTCATAATCCTTGTGAAACTCCACTAAGAACAGCATTCCGCAATAATAAAATATCATTCTGGATCATTCTTTGTCTTCTATCAGTTAAGAAAACAACTACTGTTTTCCTTTTACTCCATATTTATCTACTGTTTTTCCTTTTACTCCATATTTATTGAACTTATAAATTAGCTTTATTTTTTTAATTATCAAATTAGGCATAGTACTGAGTCAAAAGCCTTTACTGCGCAGTACTGAGTCAAAAGCCTTTACTGTCTGGTACTAAGTCAAAAGCCTTTACTGTGCGGTACTGAGTCAAAAGCCTTTACTGTGCGGTACTGAGTCAAAAGACAAATAATGTTTCTAATGAAATAATTGTGTATGATTTATTTTTTACAAAGCCGTGATGATTACTGGAGATGAGTCACTGCTGGTTACTGGAGATGAGTCCCTGCTGGTTACTGGAGAGTTCCTTTTCAATAAAAATAATTTCAAGTTTGTTTCTAATAATGCTTTTCAACATTTTACATAAAATACACATTAGAAATACAAGCCTGTAGTTACAGTAGGATAGTTTTAAACCATTTTTGTGCAATGATCTTACATTAACAGATCTCCATTATAATGGGAAATACTTACTTCCAATCAAAGCTTTGAAAATAAAGTTATTGGTAAAATTTTCTGTATGCATGTTTGCAAATACATTATACAAAGTTTATATTAACTTTTCTTAAACATTCTTTTTTGCAGTTGATCATGATTTTATAGTTTTTTTAATATGAGAATTATCAACTAATGTATCTTAATCGATCTTATGGAATTTATTCCTTAATTTTCCTTATAAATGTAAACGGAAATTGTATGCTGATTATAAAAAAAAATAATGTCAATTGTCGAATGTAGCTTTTTGTTGAAATCATTACTTAACAATTGAATAATTGAATATTATGGAACAATTTCAAAAATGCAATAAATTCGATATTATTTAAAAATGCAATTAATCAAAAATGTAACTGGTTCAATATTATTTAAAAATTCAATCAATCAAAAATGCAATAAATTTGATAATATTTAAAAAAAAAATGCAATAGATTTAATATTATTTAAAGACAAACTTCAAAGTTTTGAACATTATTATTATATTCTTGTATATTATTATAATATGATATACTTGTCAATAATTTTTTTTAAACTAAAACTAGCAAGAATAGTTAAAGCTCAACACTGTTGTTGAGCTCAATACTTTTTGTATGAGGGTACAGTATTATATTGTATTATATACTTTTTTATGTTTTTAATTTTTTTTATGTTTATTTAAAAGTTCTTTATATTTTAAGAGTACTAAAAATTTTAGATATCTGCTTCATTTCGTGACACAGCCTTGTTTGAGATATTTACATCATCTCTTGATATGATCAAACAGGTCATTTTAGTTATTTTAATTTCTAAATATCGTTTGCATGTTGTAATAAAAATAATAATAGTAATGATAACAACAAAAACAAAAACAAAAACAACAACAATAACAACAACAACAACAAAAATAACAACAACAACAACAACAAAAAAAAAAACAGCAACAACAGCAACAACAACAACAGCAGCAACAACAACAATAATAATGGTTATAACAAGATAATTATAAATATAATTCTAATAAATTGATGAATTGACAATTAAAAATATAATTAAAATAAATTATAAATAAAATTAAAATAAATTATAAATATAATTATAACAAATTATAAATATAATTATAACAAATTATAAATATAATTGTAATAAATTATAAATATAATTATAATGAATTATAAATATAGTTATAATAAATTATAAATATAATTATAATGAATTAATTTGGAAAAAATTATTATTATAACAATGACTATAATAATTATCATTGTATTATTATTTTATAACAATAAATTAATGATTGGTAATGATAGTGTCACTCATACTGATGTCTGATCGAAAGAGTGACACTTATAATTAAAAATAATAATAAATAGCATGCTTTTTTTAAATTTTATTACTCACTACTATATAATAATAATGGTAGTTATTTATACTAGTATAAGTTGTTACACCAACATATCACATAAATCATGTGATAATAAAAGATATATATGTTATTTTGTTTTATTTAACATACTACATATCCTGCATTTACTGATAATAAAAAAAAAATGTTTAACATAAAAGACAAAAAAAAGAAGTTTAACATAAATGACAAAAAAAAACGTTTGACATATAAAAAAAAAAAAAGAACTTAACAAAAACACTTTTTTTAAAAATTGATAACTGGAAATTCTAAAAATTTTTTTTTTAATTATTAAATTTTGTAGGTATTGAACAAAAAGATTGATTTTCAAGACCAATCACAGGTAAAATAGTTTTTTAATAATATTTTGCAACTCTCTGTACAATTTTTGTCAATTAAATGAATGGTTTGTGCTAATAGAAAAAATTGATTTGCTTGGACAAATTCATATAAAAGTATCTTATGTGCTAGCTACATCAATATATATCCATTTATTTAACCATAGGTTCGGGTCACTTGTATAGTTAAAAACTAGTCATTGGAGTGACACCTTAATAAAATAAACAAATAAAGCAAAAAAAAGTAATATAGATAGTGACCAAAATAAAACAAAATAAAAAGAAGAATGATAATATTTAAAAAAGCAAAACAAATAATACAAAAAAGAGAAAAAGTGAATAAACTGATATGAGTGATATCGAATGAATGAGATAACAACCTTTGACGATCAAAAGGAATATAGAAAATAAAAAAAGACAAAAGGATATTTTTAAATATTATGAGACAAAAAATAAGAAATAACTTGAATAATGGCAACAAACATAAAAGAACAACAATAATAAAAATAATTAACAGCAAAACCACAAAAAAAAAGTACACGTCAACAATACACCAATGTACACATCAATATAAATGATTCACAAAATTACACAACAGTATAAACAAAACATAGAAATACACGAAAATATAAAAAATACACGACAGTAAAAACAATCTAAACAACATAAATTAATAAAACTTAAAACATGTTATTTTTGTTTTTTTTAATAACTTATTCAAGTTTTTTATTTTCGAATTTATGAAAAACATTTTTACTTGTTTAACTTTGGATTTGGTTCTTCTGTTTATTGTTTTTAAAATTTTCATTGTTTTATTTTTTTTATTTTTTAAATCTTCTAATTAAATAATTTTTTTTTCTCTTTTATCTATTTTTCACCTTTTTACTGTTAAAAAAATACTTCCTCCATATGCCATGTCATTGCAAAGTGAAAATCAATTTTAGAAAATCAATTTTTGCAACCTTCAAAGGAAAGTATTAGGCTTTCCTTATTCCTAAAATAATTAAATTTTTTTTTGTGTAAATTAATTTTGAATTATATTTGATAAGAAATGACGATGTGTATGCTTACTATTTTTTTTTATCTCACCTCAACCTAAAACACTACTGTTATGCTATTAATTTAGACTATTACATTTCACCTAATTAACATAACATTAAAATTATTATCATTACATAAAATATTATTATTACATAACCAAAATTTTTTACTAGTTCAAGGCGTTAGTGCAAAAAGTCATAATAGAAATTATCATTGTGACTGGATAGTTCACATCCTGCTGAAATCATTTTGATAACTTTGTTATTCACTAACGTCAATAACAAAGGCAAGTTTAGATTAGTTTTTTGGAGTTTTAGGGTTAAGAGCAAGCTGCTAAAAATAAACTGCAAGCCCCAATCTATTACAGAAGTAAGATCAGATTCAAGATTGGCTGCCTGTTCTAAGCAATTAAAAAGAGAGGACTTTTTGTCATAAAACAAGAGTATAAAGTTGAGTCATTAGCAAATAGTGCCACTTAACATGTAAGGTTGTCAGAATGATCATTAATGTAGATAAAAAAAAAACCCACAGGAAATGAAGAAGAGTGTTAACCTTTGAGTGTTGGATGATTTTAATAAAGTGGTTAGAAGTAATTGATTTGTTAATCTCAAAAAATTTCCCAGATACACCATATAAAGCAAGCATAGATAGCAAAGACCAGCATAGATAGCAAAGACCAGTATGGCAAACTGTTTAGAAAGTTTTAGATATATCAAAAGCAATAGCTCTTGTCTCACTGTGTCCATGTATGATTCTTTCAATCTCTGCAAGTCAGCGAGAGGATTGAAAATTGGTCTGACTGTAAGTTATTTGGCTCAAGATCAGATGTTAAAAATTTGTTAATCAAAGACTCAAAGACCTTCCTAATAATAGAGAGAAGACTGATGATGAAGACAAAATTTAAAATTTTTTATCACAAATCTTTACACAAAAAAGTTAGTACATGTGAGCTGTCAAAATATTTTTAAGTTACGATTTTTCATATTTTTCCAGGTTATACTGGATTTACTGGTGTTATATGTGTCATATCTTTCCAAGTTCTACTGGATTTAATTAAATTTGCCATTCTTTGATGTGCTGACCATAAAGTTTAGTGAGACCGTGTAAGTACAATGTTGCTTTTTAAAGCATGGTCATGGTTATGTGTTTTTTTAAAGCATGGGTTCAGGGTCTTAAAATTTTTTCAATCTTTTTCTTCAAGATCATGGGCTTCTTTTTCAATTTCTTGCGACTAGATTTATAGCATTTTCTTTTATTTTTAAGGCTCACAAATTTTGATATAGCTGGAAGTAGCAACCTATAGTTCTAGTCTATAATGTCTATATTTTTACAACTATATGTCTATAGTTCTGTAATTATTATCATAATAAAAAGTCTTATTAGCTCTAAATACTAGAAAACCGCACATTCCAATTTTTAAAAAAATACTTAAATTCCCTTAACTTCTTCCAGTTACTCGGCTATTCAATTTTTTATTTGCCTTGCACTAATTTCCTTCAAAGCCTCTAACCATATTGAAAGATCCTGTAATATAGAATCAACCTTTGCTTTTCTAGATGCCTATCTTGCAATACCAACATATTTCATACTTGAGGCAAATCATTCCACACTCTGACAATACTATCCTTTAAGCAAATTTAACCTTGGTAAATTGCTTGTAAGAAATGTGATTTTGGTTGTTCATTATACTAATTTACCATGTACCCATTATACCAATGGTTAAATACCAATTTTTATTATTATCAATATATAGAACCTCTGATTTGCTTCAAGTTTTGACTACCCACAGGTTTTATGACAAATACGCAGCCCTGATAATGTATGCAAAAATATACATCTGAGTCATAATCATGTCATAAAATAGAGTAAAGTAAGATTTTTTCAAAATTTGTTTTGGTTATTATCTTTATATAGAACCTCCACAAAAGTTCTTTACAAAAGGGCTTCACAAAAACTGAAATATCTGCGACTGTGTCATCATCAGTTGGTATTAGAGGGTTAATATTATTGGTGTTAGCTGTAGGATCTTGCTCATGTTGTGGTTGATTTATGCTATCAATAACATCAGTACCACTATTTGCAGTCTTCTTCATTGAACCAGGGTTTTCATGCTCAGGCCTTTTGGGCTTGCTCGCATGCACGCAATTATTTTGGTGAGCGCTTAAAGAAACACTCACCAAAATAATACATTTATTTTTTAAATTGCAAAAACCTGTTTGTCACTTTTAGTTTTATTTTTTTATTTTCTATATTATTTTTTTATTTCTAAATTATATTTTCTAAATGATATCGAAAACCTAAAATTTTTATCGAATTATAAAATAAAGTTTATACTTAAAATAATCTATGTTAGTCTCTATGTTAGCATGTGTTTTTGAGTCTTTAAAATAAATGCCACAATCTACAGATTTTATAATTTATTCAAAAGCATTTAATTCTAAAAAAATCTTAAAATTCTTTTTTTCTTTAAGTTATAGAATTTTTTTTTTCATTATAGGTTACTAAAGAATTTGTTTATTTACTTATTATTATATAAAATTTTTTTTTCATCATAAATTACTATAGAATTTCTTTAGTTACTTTATTTTCAAAATTTTGCGAAGTTCGATTTAAAAATATGAGTTATATATTTCAGTTATTTTAAGCTTGTCTATTGCTATAAATTAGTTTAGTGTTATATTTATTGTTATTAAATGACTATTACCCTTATTAAGATTCTGTTAAAACATTATTTTAATCTTATACAAGTTTAATTATAAGCATTTATTTAAATTTTTCATTGAGAACAAATATTCTTGAAGTTCCTATTAAATCATGTGAGAATATATTTAATAAAGTTTATTCTTTAAAACATGTGTAGACCACACGAGTAAAACCACAGATGTCACATTTTTCTCATTTTGAGAAAAATGAAGTTTAGTGTTTAGTGACATTAGATATCTGTTTATTAATAATTTATTTAATTAAAACTATATTTTTCTGAAATTTTATTCCTTACACAATATAAAAATGCAGTTTTTGTGCTAAATACAAGAATTAGTTATTTACAGTGTTCTTTTGAAAACAAGACACTCATTTTGGACATCTGTTTTTCCGTTGTAAACTCATCAACTCATAAATTACGTTAGCTTGTAACCTTTTAGAACACTTATTTTTTTTAAGGTAGATGGTAACACATTGTAATATACAACTGCAGTGTACTAAGTGTGTGATGGGATAATAAAGCTATCCCCTCCCCTCTTTAAATAAAAAAGATTCAAACAAAATATATAATATTTTGTTTGTATGTTTTATTTAATTTTATACAAAATAGCATTGCAACCTTATCTTTTCCCCAACCTCATCTATTTACCACAGATGATTCCATGATGTCAGTGTTCCATCACTTAATATCAAATTTGTATAAATTATATGTATGGTTTATACAAACCATACATATGGTTTATATAAACTTGATTTGAAACCATTGTGAACACATCGTTAATAAAAATGTTTTGTTTCTATTTTCAAAGAAAAATAGAATAAACTAAAAAAAAATGATAAAATAAAATCAATAATGCCTTATTTTGTCCATTCAGAAAATCTTTAGCTTAGGTAAGTCTTTGAATTTTTAACAAAAAAAGACAACAGAGCTAATGTATGCTTGTTTCAGTTTATCAGGCATTTTGATCATTGGTCTAAACATATGGGAGTAACACACATAAATATAAATATTTCCATTTTTCCATATAATAAAACTTTAACTAGCCTTTAATATTTCAATTTCTCTAAGTGAACATGTCTTAAATGAACAAACAATCAAGAAGTTTGGCTTTGAAACTCTGCAAATTTCAGAAATTTTTCTTGTATCATGTTTATGTACAATATTGAATTGTTATAGTTTTTTGTGAGATTGTCTAGTGTTTCTAGATAATAAAATTAAATTAAAACTTTTCATTTTGTATTTTGTGTAGCACATAAATTGCAAACCAATTTGATATCCTTTACATTTGAGACAATTGATAGTTTAAAATCATGCAGCATAGAACATACAACATCAGACCATCTGTTTCCAACAGTTTCATCATAACAATAAAAGTATTAGGTATTAGATTTTAGGCATTTTTTTTTTTTTTTTTTTGAAATTTAAGCAAATTACTAAATTACACAATTAAAAAATCAGAATCAGAATATTATTGAATCCATTTTCTACTGTTTTAGGATACAAAAGGTACACCTTATGAATTAATGGTACACCTTATGAATGTTTTTTTTAAAATGTTTTTCTATGAACGTAATGTTGTTTTCTTTATTCGAAAAGTTATTCATGTGGCTTACGCTTTTATTATCATTGGTTTAGTTATAAATAACTTGGACAACTGTGTTTTTTACGTGGTAAACATTGGACAACAGTGGTCGTTTCAAAGTTGTCCTTTATTTTAAATGACCATAGAACCTTAAAACATTTTTTGTTATGAATTTTAAATTAAAAAAGCTTAGCACTAAAATATCATAAAAATATATAAAACTTGAAATTTTATTTTATTTTTAAAATTTAACAATTCTTGCTAAAAATTGCAAAAATGGGTAGCATTTTGAGTCAATTTTAAAATTAAAATCGTTTAATGAAAAACTTTTTATTGTAAATTTTGGTAGTTTTTTGATTTGTATGTTAAATGTAAAATGCATGCCAAATGCAACATATAAATTGGGAAATATTAAATATAATATGTTTTTTAATGCTCGTTGCAACACATTGATAATTTTAATCGCCATCTGTCTTGAATTATTGCCATAAAGCATTAATTATTGCTTTAATTTTTTTTTTTAATCTTTGCTTCCAACAAGGCTGTAAGCAACCACTAAAAGAAAAGATGAATTTTAGTAGAAGGCACAAGAGACGCTAGCACTTTAGAGCAGTGCCCATTATAGTATTTTTAAAAAAGAGAAGCAACGATGTGATAGTAATTAGATGCATTATGTTGATGTGATAGTAATTGGAGGTTGGCTGCAAGAGCAGGTCCAACTATGTTTACAATTTTTGCATCTTGTCTAAATGAGAATGGGCATCATTAAAAGATCCGCCCCCAATATGGCAACAGTATTCCATACAAGGACGGATTTGAGATTTATAGAGATAAAGAATAGATAATCCGGAGTAAAAAGTGTTGAGCTCGATAAAGAGATGCAACCTTAGCAAATGCTAATTTTGCAATGGATTTGATATACGTTTTCCAAGAAAGATCAGAAGTAAGAGTTATTCCTAAAACATGAAGGGTAGATGATTCATCGAATACATTACCGTTCATAAATACAGGAAGGATTCAATAATCGTGAAGATAATACCAGATACACTGTAAGAAAAAAGCTTATGGAGAAGACCAGCATGCTAAACTTTATCAAAAGCTTTAAAAATGTCAAGAGCCAAGGCCTTAACCTCTCCACCTTTATCTAATGCATGATAAAACTTATCGTTTATTACTGTTAGCAAATCAGCTGTAGATTGAAATCCATATTGATGATCAGAAAGTAAGTTATTAGATTCAAGATGAGAGATTAAGTTTTTTGTTAATTAAAGATTAAAAAATCTTGCTTAAGATAGGAAGAAGACTAATAGGACAGTAGTTAGACGAGTCAGATCACTCTCTAGAATTTTTGAAAATAGGGATAACAGATGCCGAAAACAAGACTCTTATAAGCACTTATTAAATAGTTTTGAAATTATGGGTGACAGCTCCGGAGAACACTTCTCCAAGACCTCAACAGGTATGTTGATTAAATTAATTAAAAGCCATTTGTAAATTTGTTAAGTATAGATTCTATAAATATTTTCTTACTAAAAATTAAAGAATTTAGTAAATATCTCTAATAAGTGATGTTGCTTACTAAAGTTATTTGTTAAATAAAAATTTAGGAATTTGTCATTTCAATAGGAGAGCAAAAATGTTATAGTGATAAACTAGAAAAAAAGTTCTCATTGTTTACATAAAAAGAAATAAGATTCAGAATATTACAATAAGGTGATAAACATAAAAATCTTAATTTTATTTGGTTTCCGCGCTTTATAAAAAAACATTTTTTTGTTTAACATTCCTATAAAGTTTATAGGAAAGTCAAACAAATGATTAATGCTTATTTTAAAAAACAAATAAAACAAAAACAAATAATATCCATTTAAAACAAAAAATTGATTTAAAAAAAAAAAAAAAATCCTTCAATGATATCATTTTTAATACTGAAACTCTTTGCAAATAAACAAGCTTGAATAAGTTATAAAGTCTGCAGATTACGGCGTATATTTTAAAGACTTGAAAACACATGCTAGCATGGAGACAGTGAGCTTCAAGTAAAACTTCTAAGTTTTTCTTGGTATACATTTATTATTTTGTTTTACTCAAAAAAATTCAGCCCAGACATTTTTATTTTAACATTCTCTTTAATATGAACACAACTTGTTTTGGGCTATATCCCTTTAAACATGCTCATCAAAATAAAAAAGAGTTACATTACCGTAAAACAGAGTAAATAAGACATTAGAGTGAATCGGAACATATGCAAATTAAAAAAAAAATTATAACTTTTTAAAACAGTGTTTTTTTTTCCTTCTTTGTTTTTTTTTCCTTCATTTTTAAATAAAAAAAGCAGGCTGGTTTTGTAAAATTTCAATTTGCAGAAGTAACAGTTGTTAAAATCTTTGGCAGAAGCTGAAAGAAAATATTATCTAGATTATCATAATTTTCAGATTCAAAAAGAAAAATTAAACTATGCAACAATTCATTTTTTTATTTTAATATTTCAAAACTTTTTTTTTGATTTAATATGTATGTATGTATATATGTAATGTATGTATGTATGTATGTATGTATGTATGTATGTATGTATGTATGTATGTATGTATGTATGTATGTATGTATGTATGTATGTATGTATGTATGTATGTATGTATGTATGTATGTATGTATGTATGTATGTATGTATGTATGTATGTATGTATGTATGTATGTATGTATGTATTTATGTATGTATGTATGTATGTATTTATGTATGTATGTATGTATGTATGTATGTATGTATGTATGTATGTATGTATGTATGTATGTATGTATGTATGTATGTATGTATGTATGTATGTATGTATGTATGTATGTATGTATGTATGTATGTATGTATTTGTGTGTATGTATGAGCTACCATGGTATTATTAGTAGAAAAGAAAAAATGATGCAGTCTGATGATAGGATAGAGGCTCAGGTTTTGCACTTGAAACTGGTCCAATAACATTTGTAATGCATTTTAAAATTGTGTCTAAAAAAGGTGGGCCATTATAGAAGAACCATTCCAAATATGAAAGCAGTATTCTATAAAAAAAAGAATAAGAAATTTACAGAGAATGAAATCAGGAGTGAAAGTGAAACTTAATAAAAAAATTACTTAAAATGTTTACTAACTTGTTGTTATCATACTTTTGTGTTGAATTCTTTTATGTATCACAGCACACATGATAACAACACATAAACCAAGAAATTTCTATGCCTTATTTTTTTTTTAGTGTTAATTTTTTTTATAGGTGTCGCTATTAGGATTTCTTCTGCAGCTAGTTCGGGTTTGTTTAATGTATGACTTTATTGGCACTTCTTTTGATGAATCAACAGATGATTTTGGAACTGTTCATGTTCCTTCTACCTGGAAGCAAAGTAAGTTTTTTATAAGAGAATATTTGACAATTTAGTTTTTTAAATCTAATTTTTTTAAATTTTAAAATATATCTTATAAACAAATACAAAATTATAATTTAAATAAGAAATAACAACAACAACAACAAAAAAGTAAACAAGTTAAATAATAATGAATTTAAAGAATATAACTGGAAATAACTTTGGTTTATGTATACATTAGTTGTTGCTTTACATTAAAAAAAAAATTCTAGTTCACTCCCAACAAGGCTTCAAGCAACCATTTTTAAGTTCGGAGTTACTAGAAAACAAAGAATAGAGTTAAAAAGCAAGAAAACTAAAGACTATCCACTTTGTGAAACTCTTGATCAAAATTGCATTCTGGGATGTCCTGCTGGAGCTTTTCCGCAACTAACACAAATAGTTTTTTTGTTTTTTTAAAATAAACTTTGTTGCTAAATATCTCAATTTTGTAGCATTAAGAAACATCAATTTTGATAAGATTACCATTAAAATGTTTCAATAAGAATGAAATAATGGGGAAAAAACGTTTTGTAGAAAAAAAAAGTTTTGTAGAACATAAAGTTAGTGAAAAATCTATTAGAGTGTTAAACAGTTTTATGCTGGTAAAAAAATTATCCATGAAGATTTTATACCCTATATTTTTTGGTAAATGTACAACAAGCTTTAGCACTGCTGCTCCAACTTTACCATATTCTTTAGAAATATCGGTATTTTCTTCTTTGCAAAGATTGATAGTAAAATCGTAAAGCATTACATTGACTAAACATTGCGCCCAGATTTTTATGTGCCATTTGTGCGGTTTTTCGAAAGATGTTGTCTGATTGGACTGAATTGATTTTGTGGGGATAATTTCCCGTCTATAGACTGACATTTTTCTTGTTCAACTAACCTGTACTTATCAAGAACAAATCGCATGATTGGTCTAACTTTGTACAAATGATCATATTCTGCTGTGCATTTTTTTTGCATGTATGTATTATCATTTGCATGAAAATACTTTTTTAATATTTCAAATCATTTTAAACCCATATAATCTGCAATTGATGCACAATTATTGTATTGAAACTAATAAATTAAGATATATTTACACTCCCTTAGTATTTAGTATACCAATAAACTGCTCAATTTCATCACTTAGTATTAACAATTTCATCAATTAGTATTAACAGATTTTCCTGTCATTTGTACAGAATATAAGTTTGTCTGGTCAGCAATGATTTTGAATAAAGCTGCATCAAAAAATTCATTAAAATATTGCCTTGGCCTCCATTCTAAGTATGTAATCTTTTTGAATACTTCACCTTTGAAACTAGAATCAACATTATGAGGCAATTGCTTGCACATTGCCTCACAATGCACAACAGTTGCGCTTTAGCATTGGTTTTTGAGGTATTAAGTGTTTTAAACAATAAAAATTTCTTAAAACCTTATCTGTGCAATGTTGTTGTACAACAACATAATAACTTTAATCATTTTTACTCATGTAAATTGTAATTTAAAAGAAATTATGTTTGTATATAAAATAATAATAACTAATTTATATTATTTTTTAAAAACACTTTCTACACAAAAATATATATGAAAATGCAGATATAGAATTTTAGAATTATACAAACGGCTTTACTACTACACTTTTTTAACTTGAGTTAAAAATTACATAAAAAACATAGTCCTATCCAGCAGAAAAAAAATTTAAATTTAAGGACTTATCTCTGATTATTAATTCTAAAAGGTCTGTAAATTAAATGTTGTCTAAGTTACTAAATTTAGAATAAATATTAGCTGTTGTTGTGCAGCAACACTGCGAAGTAAAGGGTTAAAAATTTTATGAAATAAAAAATTCTTGTAATAATAAAAAACATAACATTTTTTTTTTAAATTTATTTGTAGAAAATAGAAAGAGGTACAACCTTACAAATGGGAGTGAAGCTCAGGCTTGACAGCTCAAGCAGGTCCAACTGCGTTTACCATGCTTTTTTGGACCCAAATATCCCAAATATGATAACAGTATTCTATACATAATGAATAATAATTTAGGTAGATGATAGAATCATGAGTAAAAATATCTGGTGAACACAATAAAGTGAAGCAACCTTAGCATATGCTAACTTAGCAATCAATTGCAAACCTCTGAATTAGGAAAAATAAGGTCTGCAATAAATTGTTGACCTCAATCTTTTAGAGGTCAGCATCAGCTTGGCAAAAATGATTTGATACAAAGGTCTTACCTTAAGAATTAGAAACGGTCGGTAATTTTTTGCAGGTCTGAAACACGTTCAGGTCGGCAGTTAGGCTGGCATTGCTGTATGTCGACCCTAATTCGGAGGGTTGCTATTGTGTATATGGTTTTCATGAGAGTTCAGTAGTAAATGATAATCTAAGAAGGCGTAAAGAAGAAAACTTAGTCAGAGGTTACTATTCATTAACATAAGAATGTCGACAGTATTGTGATAGTTATTTAAAGTAAATAGCTGAGTTTTGTTGTAAGTTTGTTAAACTTCACAAGTTTGTTAAACTTCACAAGTTTGTTAAACTTCACAAGTCACTGCAAGCCCCAGTCTGTTATAGAAGTGAGATCAAATTCAAGATCGGCTGCCCGCTCTAAGAGATAGAAAAAGACTATTTGTAAAGACAAAAGTATAAATTTGATTCATCAGATAAGAAACAAGACTGGACCAAAGATAGAACCTTGGAGTACCCCAAAAGTTACTGGAATGAAGTAGAGTGTTGGCCTTGGAAGGTGAACTTGGTAAAGCGATTAGAAAAAAATGATTTGATAATCTTAAAAAACTTTCCCAGGTACACCTTATGAAGCAAGCTTATGGAGGAGACCAGCATGCCAAACTTATTGAGAGCTTTAGATATGTCAAGAACTATGCCGTTGTCATTCCGCCTCCATCTAATGCACAATAAAATCTTACAGTCACAGAGGTTAGCAAGTCAGTTGTAGAGTGAGAAAATCAAAAACCATTTTTATTGCCTACAGTAAGGTATTTTACTCATAATAGAAAGTTAGAAATTTGTTGATCAAAGATTCAAAGACCTTGCTAATAACAGAAAGAAGACTGATGAGACAATAGTTAGAGGGGTCAGAATGTTCTCTGGAGTTTTTAAAGTTTCAATGTCATTTTCCTACAAGCAGGAAAACAAGATTCAGTCAAGTACTTATTAATTAGTTTAGAAAGAATCGAGTTCTGGAAAACACTTTTGTAAGACTATGACAGGAATGTTGTCTGGTTAACTTGTGTAACTGAAATAGAAGGAAGAGTATGGCCATTAGATTCAAGAATTGAGTTAGAAGAAAAGTTCTTTGCAAATTGTTCAGCCTTATCATTGTGAGAAGTAATAAGAATGAGAGAAGGAATGTTAGACTTACTTTTGTTAATGGCGCTGTTGAAGATTTTCTAAAAGTCTCTAGAACCTAACTTCTGAGATAAGATATGAGATTTAGTATCAATGTAGAGATCATTGTATGGTTGGAACCACCTAGAGAAGAACAAAAGAGAAACTGAACGCAAGCTACGGTCAAGAGCTAGAAGGAAAAGTGCAAGATAAAAAAATTTATAGAGATTAATTCAAGAAATGAAGGTAAGTGATTAGGGTTGTTGGGAAAATGAGTCACAAAGTTAAATATCTGAGTTTGATACTGAGAAATGCAGAAGTTATAGGCTTTAGTACCAGTAAGGTCAGTGGTGTTAAAGCCAAGCCATTCAGTGTTCAGTGAGCAATGAAATCACCAGTAACAACAATATTGGCAGAGGTAAAGAGAAAGGTTATTTTGATCAGAAATGAGTGCAGTCATGAGAAGAAGGAGAACGATAACAAACAAAGAGAAAAAATGAAGTGAGGAGGTGCTAAACAGAAGCACATAAAAGAATGGTCAAAGGGCTCAAACCTGATTTCTTGACATATAGGTGAGTTGATGTGTAAGTATACCCCCATGCCAGGCATGTGACTATTAGAGTGTTTGCAAATACAAGTATAGTATCCATCAGTAATGAGATGTGAAGAAGGAACAGATTTATTAGTCTCACAAAGAGCAAGCAAGTCTGGTGAATTTTGCTAGAGGTAAAATTCAACTGATCAAAAGTTACTTCAAAGATCACAAATGGTTGTGCAAGGTATATTGAAACAGGTGGTGGAGATAGTATGTTAATTTTTTGGGTTAGTTTAGGCAAGATTTAAGCTTAAAGAGAACACATTGATGTATAAAGCAAAGCATCCTAAGCAATAAGCTAAACATTGGTCTCAGTTCTTTATTTAACCCAAAGTGGCAGCTTAAGATTTTTTATGTGGCCTCAACAATGCACACTAAATACATTAACAGAGACACCACATGACTACATTACAGACACCAGCATGTAGCATGGTACTCTTAATACTCTGATATCTTACAGCTGTTGATAGAACCTCTCTAAGAGCTATCACAGAATTCAGGTAGCCTTACTACCAACTGGTCTCAGAGCCATAAAACTGAGTAGAGTTGTACCCTCATTAGGTGATAAATACATACATACATGCAAAGATCTATGAGTAGAGTTAAGAAGATCCAGTTTTCATCATCCAGCAAACATGGAAACATCAGGTTGCAAACCATGTAACACAGGGTGTTAGCCAGGAAAAAGTTTTACACAGCCATATAGGTGCCAGGAAAAAGTTTTACACAGCATTTTTTGCGATATTGGGAATTTAGGTGTGGCAAATAAAAAAGCTCAAGGGGAAAAAAAAGGTCAATGCATTCTGAAATTTAAAAAAAAGTTTAAGCAAATTAAGGTTCTACATAAGTAGAAAAATTTGACATTTTTTAGATACATAAATATTTAAAATAATTTTTTTTGGTGAGTTATATTCATAGCAGGAATATTTTTTTATTTTATAAATATTTATAATTGTAATTGTTCAAATTATTTCATTCTAATCAACCTTCTCAAGTTTTTTCATATTTAAATTTTATCTTTTTTTTGTGTGATAGTGTTGAGAGAAAAAGGAAGACAATTGTTTGCAATTTAATATTTAAATGAATGAATTTGATACTTTGATCTAATTTAGTGGCGTACATCAATTTTAAATACAGTTTTGAAAAGTTTAAACGGTTATTTAAAAGTTAATCCTTGTATTTATAAATATTGTTTTTGTAAACTAAACTTTTGCATTTGTAATGAAATAGAAAAGTATAAAAATTTATGTATATTTAATTATCTTTTATGTTTTATGCAAATATAACATAAATGATTTGTTTCATTGCAAGTTTCATTTTTGATTTTTTTGTTGGTGTTATTTTCGGCATACTTTACCAGCAAAACTAGTTTACTGAAAGAATTTTTAAATCCTTTAGTATAAAAATATTAATAACTTGTTATAAAGTAAATTATTTATTATTTATTAATATGCAAAGGTTTTTGTGGTTTTTTTAACTTAAATTAACCAGTAAAAATTTAAATAAAGAGTTTTTGAATAAAAATAAATAAAAAAAAGTTTTTTTTAGCTTTTGAATGAATGATCTTGCTTGTTAATATTAATTTTTTTTTTCAAAAAAAAAAAAATTGTCCTGCGTATAATCTGAGTCTATTATAGTTTTTTTTTTTTTTAATATGATCTTTTGAACCTTTGGGAATTTTAAACCAGTTGGGAGTTCCGCATTATATGCAGTGCCATCAGGGTGGCTAACACCCTGCATATATTTACATCTATGCCCCCTTCTTTTCCCCATATATTTACATCTATGAACCCCTTCTTCAACATAATAGTTGAAGAAGGGGTTCAAGGTTGGTTAACATAAGTATTCTTCTCACCCCAAAGTCTTTGCCTAGGAGGTCTTCTGCAAAACAATAGCTGGGCGCAGTTAACATCTGCCCAAGATGAGTATTTTTATCAAGACACTATCTCTAGCCTTTACTCAACCAAGAGCCCCAAGGTAGGGAGATTTCAGCTGGATGCACAAAATTATTTCTTTAAAACATGTCAATATGGCTCTCAAGAAAAATGAAATTACATAAAAGATTAAAAAATAATAATCGTTTTATAATTTATTTTTTTAACTATAATTAGAACTTAATAGTAATTAGACAATCATGCGATGATGACGCAAATATATATATATTTTATTGGTAGAGCTGACCCAACTTCTCTGAACAAGTTTTTTGTAGATTTTTTATGTATTAAACAATCTTTGTTTTGTTTTTCTTTTTTTTTTTTTGTTAAATATAATAATTTATTTTATAGCATTTCTAGACTTCTCTGTGCTACATTTATTTATGGATCTGTATTTGGTTGTACCATTAAATTTATCATCTTTAGTAAGTAATTTTCAGTGTTTTTCAGTTTTGTGTTAAGTATAACATTAAGTTGTTATATTGTTATTTTAAAACTATTTACACCTTCAAAAATTCAAGACTATTAAAAAATGTTAAATCCTTAAAAATGCAGAAATCATTTTTTAACTTGTATAGCTTTATAATCAGCAATTTTTTTCTTTTATAAAAAATTCCATGTAAAAAAAGAACAGTCATTTCACTTCCTCAGGTTTTTTTTAAACTCTTGTATATTTGTAGTAATAGTTTGAAATTAAAGATGTATTAGGCCATCTTAATGTAAAACATGTTCTATTAAAGCATATTAAAAATTGCTCACTTTAAAATTTAAACTTTGGGTTCAAAGAATTAAAAATGCATTGCAAGATTTTAAGATACATTGAACAAAGAAATCTTCAACATGGTAACGTAAATAATACTAAACTGTTTGCAGTTTTTATACTCTTCTTCACAGCCATAATAATGTATTTTTGTAGTTGATGGACAAAGAATATTGTGATGTGATCAACAGTTTTATGCATAACTTTATTATATGATATCATAGTTCATATCATCTGATGCAAAATGATGCCTCCAATCTCTTGTAGTAGATAATAATTGGATAATAGTAACACTGCTTCTTGCTCTAGTCTTATTTCAAGATCTTTACCACTCAATATCAATTTCACATTATGATGTATTGTAAACAAAAATTGGACTAGCAACAATGCATCATTTTAACTGAAGACTTGAAAATCTTATTTTATAGTCTGGGTTTTACATCTTATATGCTACTTAGAGCTTTTTAAATGTATTTCTAAGTTAATAGATAAGTTGTATTTGTTTCATAAAACAATACAATGATTTGGCACAGTGGTTGTTAATAATCTAAAAAAATGATGCAATAATTGTAAATATAATCACCTGGCCCAGTAATCTAGTAGTGATGCAACACTTATTAATATAATAACTTGCCAACGGTGTATTAATTGTAAATATAATAACTTGACCCAGTAGTCTAATAAAGTGATGAAATACTTATAAATATAATAACTTGGCTAAGTGGTTGTTGCTGATCTAATAAAATGATACAATAATTATAAACACTAGCTGTCAAAACCAGTATGATACAGGTCATGGTAAGTCTGTTCCACACCCGACTATCCAAACTTGTTTTTAATTTGGTCTCTTTAATAAAGCTTTGATAAATTTTATTAAATGGCAGAATTTTAATGAATTTAAAATTCTTGGCTTACATTTAAAAATCTTGGCTTACGTTTAAAATTTTCAGTTGTTTGTGATTGAAAACCATACTTTTATATAAAAACCATTAATACTTTTATCACCTTTGGTGATTGCGATCTAAATGGTTTAGGATTCTTTGCAGTCGTGTTTTTTTAACCGTTGAAAAGGAAAAAGGAAATAAAGAAAGGCAATTAAAAACTGAGTTAATTACCAATTGTTTCAAATAAAGAATTCAAAAATATCAAAATAAAAGAAGAGTAAAACAAAAAAACATATAAAAAAATATTAAAAAAATAAAAATTTTAACAAATAAACACTCAAAAACGACATTTAAAAAAAACAAATAAAAAAAAATTCGAACATCGATTTTTACTTAACAAAAAAAGAAAAAGAAAAGAAAAGAAGTTGATAAGTTAATAAGAAGATAAGAAGAAAATATCAGTTTCTTAAAAGAGTAGATAATTTTTATAGTTTTAATTTGTATTTGTATTATTTTTTATCTTATTTTAAATACTACACTTTTATTTTTATTTATATTACTACAGTTTATTATTAGATTACTTGTTTTGATATATAATATTTAGAATTTATTTTTATTATTGTTATTATATTTTTAAATTTACATTTCTCTTAACTTTAATTAGTTTTTTTACTCTTTATGTCTGATTTTATAATTTTCTTCAAATTTTTTGTTTTTGTTATAGTTTACTGTTTGTTTGGCTGTTGCATTATTGTTTAACTACCATTAATATTATTTACTATAATTGTTAGTTTTTCGATACTTTAATTGGTTGTTCTTAATAATCTATTCATATGCATTATTTTATTTATTTTAACAATTATTAATAACATAGCTATTTACTTCCTACTTATTGTTCCTTACATTCTCTCTAATATTGTGGTTCTACTATGGCTTTAAACTGTCATTTGTGTAAAAAATTAATTAGTCAAAGTTGCCACTATTCTCAATGTAATATTTGTTTATTTTAGTCTCATACAAAATGTGACAGGCTTAATGATACTAAGTACAGTTTACTACAATTAAGTTGCTTGTTGCGGAGTTGTTGCTTGTTGCAGAGTTGTTGCGGAGTGTCTTTCCATTCACAGATGTACAAGATAATGAATTTAAATTGCTATTTTCTTCCGATATAATTCTTAAAACTGATGATTTACCTCTGTCTACAAACCTTTTCCCGTCTTTTCATTTAAATAAAGTCTCTAATCAAATTAATAATTATGTTTCATCTCGTGTTTTAGATTCCGAGGAAGAAATTTCTTCATTAGACATAGTTTGTAAATATTATGACATAAGCGAATTATGTACACTTAATTTTAATAAAATAAGCGCTCTCTCCTTTTTTCATCTAAACATATCATCGTTACAAAAACACTTTGATGATTTAAACATAATATTATCATTAATTAATTTTGATTTTTCCATTATTGGTATAACTGAAACAAGGTTAAAAAAAGGAAAATCCTCAATTCATCCGATTCTCATTGATAATTACAACAATGAGCAGACACCAACGGAATCCTCTTGTGGCGGTACATTATTATATTTATCAAAAAAACTAATATACAAACGAAGAGATGATTTAATGATTTATACACCTAATTGTTTAGAATCCACATTTGTTGAAGTTATTTTTTCTAAAAAGTCTAATATTATTGTTGGTTGCATTTATAGACACCCTGCATGGATATTAATATTTTTAATAATATCATGTCTGTCTTACTTCAAAAAATGTCTGCTGAAAATAAATCTGTTTTCTAACTTGGTGATTATAATATTGATCTAATGCAATCAAATAATGACATTGCGACATCTGATTTTTTAAACTTATTTTCTTTTTATAATATTCGCCCTTTTATTATTTTGCTGACTTGAATTACTGATCACTCTGCTACAGTTATTGATATTATTTTCTCTAGTTTAATAGCTAATGAAATTGTTTCAGAAAATTTGACAACTTCTGTTTCTGATCACTTACCTCAATTTTGTATTTGTCCAATTTCAATAAATTATTTATACCACGCAGGAGTTTTTAAAACTTTAATAAAGAAAACTTTAAATCTGATTTATCAAAAATTGACTGGGATGATATTACAAAGTCCAATGATACTAACACATGTTTCTAAACGTTTATTACTGAAACAACATTGATTTTAGATCGATACGCCCCACTTAAAAAATAAGTATAAAAAACTTCAAACGTTGATTCAAACCATGGATTACAAAAGGAATTATAAAATCTATTCAAGTGCACAATCTTTTCCAAAAAAAAATGTTAAGATCTAAAGATCTTATTAATAAAAAAAAACTTGAAAGTATTTTTAAAAGATATAAATATATAATAGTTACATTAATTAAACTTAGTAAAAAAAAACATTTAAAAAAATTTTTCTCAGAAAATCTTCACGAACTTTGGAAAGGTATTAACACTCTATATAATGTAAAAAATTTGAATAAATCATCTCCCAACTGTTTTCAAGAAAATGATACATATATAACTGACCCGACTTTAATCTCTGAATCATTTAACACTTTTTTTACAAATGTTGCTATTAAACTCAAATCCAATATTCATTCATCTTACATTAACTATCAAAAATATCTTAAACATCCAAATTTACATAGTTTATTATTATCTCCAACAAATATTTCTGAAATTTCATCTCTTTTATCTAAATTGAATCCAAAAACATCATTAGGTCTGAACAGCATTCCCACAAATATTCTTATAGATTTTAACTACGATTTTTCAAATATTCTTTCTAAACTATTTAATACCTCATTTATAAATGAAAAACTTCCTGATATTTTGAAATTATCTTGTGTTATTCCAATATTTAAAAATGGCTCTAAACTTTCATGCACTAACTACAGACCTATTTCTCTTTTATCTAACATTAGTAATCTTCTTGAGAAACTTATGTATGCTAGGGTGTACTCTTTTCTAAACTCATTTAATTGTTTAAATGATTTTCAATTTGGTTTTCGATCAAAACATTCTACTTGCCATGCATTAATAAGTATAACGGAAAAAATCAGGAAAGCTCTTGATACTGGTCATTTCATTTGTGGTGTTTTTATCGATTTACAAAAAGCTTTCGATACCGTTGACCATAGTATTTTGATTTCTAAATTAAAACATTATGGAATTCGCGGTATTGTAAATACCTTTGTAAATAGTTTCGATCTTATCTTTCAGATCGAAAACAATTTGTAAGTATTAATGGTTTCAATTCTAGTTATAAATCAGTTTTGTGGTGTTCCTCAAGGTTCTGTTCTAGGTTCTCTTTTTTTTTTAATCTACGTTAACTACCTAATCAACACTTCTCTTCAGTCCATCTGTTTGCTGATGATACAAATCTCTTGCGTATCAACAAATCGTATCATTTTTTATGTAAATATGTTAATTTGGATCTAAAAGGTATAGTTCACTGGTTAAATGCTAACATAATATGTCTCAACACCGAAAAAACTGAAATAATTTTTTTTTCATCTCCAAGAAAAAATAATTTCTTTAAAAATGTTGAAATCAAAATCAAAATTAATAATAAACGGCTATATCCTTCAAGAGTTATTAAATATGGTGTAATAATATTGGTGTATTAATTGATTGTAATCTTTCATGGAACTTTCATATTGATGAACTAAGCAAGAAACTTCGAAAAAATCTCGAGCTAACGGTATGCTTTCAATAATTCGTCATAATGTCAATATAGTTACACTTAAGAGTATTTACTATGCATTA